ATCATCCTTTTATAATTCCATAATTTTTTAGAAACCCAAGAAGATAAAGGAAGGAGAGATGAGAACGGTCCAGAAAAAGGTAATTTCATCATAAATAGACCACATTCTAGTCTTGTCTTTCTCGTATTACGTTCATTGTCCTTTGCTGTGTCAAGGAGACCTTTCACAGTGTCCCTTGTGGACAGAGGTAAAGTGGAATGTGAGCCTGGAAATAAATCTCTCTTATGCCTTACTGCTCTCACTCTTTTACATACCAAGATTGTAGCATTTGTAAATCATGTTTGGGAAGTTGTCAGCTCATAGAGTTCATTTATGAGAAGTTCAAGCTGCTGCAGCAGTGTTAAAATTTTTGCTTCTCTGAGCTGGATCAGATAAACCAGCAGCAGACAATGCAGCCTTCCTGGTAGATGCTTTCCTGAACTGTCAATAAAACCAGCTTCCAGCATGGTTTTTGTTGGCACAGTGTTCACTTTTTAAGTCTGAAACCGTAAACCACCTGACAGTAGTGGCTTGGTCTTGTCTTGCAGAGGAGAAGGGTACCAGTCCACAGGACTATAGATACTACCTAAGAATGTGGGCCAAGGAAAAAGAGTCCAAGAAAGAAACCATTAAAGATCTCCCCAAAATGAGCCAGGTAAGAAGTAAATGTGAAGGTTTCCAGTTAGATGACTGACAACTTAGTGGGGAATTCAGCAGTATATGCAGCCATTTTGCCAGCATACTCAGTCCTTGCCTGTAGATTGCCCTGCCGTTTTGGTCTGGTGAGCTTTAGAAGCCTCTAATTCCACACGTTTGTGTTGAATTCTTCAGTGGACATGGACATTTCCACCAGTGAAATGTGTTTGATTCTCTCTGCCTCTGAGACCAATTTTTCGTAGAAGAACTGCAATCTGTGTTTTCCCTCCAGAGCAGTATGTTTCAAATATGCCATCAGCCATATAAACTTGTTCGGCTTTCTTGGTTTTGCATTGCCTCGAGTTACAGCTGCTTGGCGGAGAGCAAAGCATGTGGTTGCAGGAAAGAGTCTGATGACTGGTGTGATCTTTTCTGTCTCAATTTCCTTTATGGGTGCTACTTAAACCAGTTTGGAAATGCTTAAAAGCTGACCACAAAAGAGCAGCAGGACAGAAGTAAAACTTTTAAGTTTTCTCAGATGTGAATATGTGAGTACTCTGTTCATCGGTCAGCAAAAAAACCCCACCAGTATTAAATTGCTGGCTGTGTCTCAATTTAGCCACTACAACAGAGAGAGAGTTTCCCTGTATTGGACTGTTCTGAATCAGTACAATAAGTTGCCACTTACTTGGTGGGGAGGGAGATAAACAAGGAGGCAGTCAAGACGGTGCCTGTTGCTTCATCTCAAGGAGTGTCTGGCCAACGCTCTTAGTCATATGGTTTTGTTTCAGGTAGTCCTGCGAGGAGCAGGGAGTTGGACTCGATGATCCTTACGGGTCCCTTCCAACTTGAGATATTTTATGATTCTATGATCTGCCACTGTCAACTTTTTCAGCCTGAATTGTGATTTTTTGGTCTTTGTCTTTTAAAGGAACAATTCATAGAGTTATGCAAGACCCTTTACAACATGTTCAGTGAGGACCCGGTGGAGCAAGAGCTGTACCACGCAATTGCCACTGTAGCCAGTCTCCTTCTGCGAATTGGGGAGGTTGGGAAAAAATTCTCCAACAGGCCCATGAGGAAGTCTGAGGACTGCAAAGCAAACAATACCCAAGATCCTGTGAGTGAAGAGGAGTCACCAACATCTGAACAGAGTCAGAATTCGGCAGTGGAGCAGCAACCCCAAGGTGACCACGAGGACAAAACCTGTGGAGATGCTCAGCCTGAAAAAACACAGCAGGAGAACCAGACTCTAGGAGATGGGTCAGGGGAAGGACAAGGCTCTCCTTTACAGCTGCTATCAGATGATGAAACCAAAGATGATATGTCCATGTCTTCCTACTCCATGGTCAGCACAGGCTCCCTGCAGTGTGAAGACATTGCAGATGACACGGTCCTGGTTGGTTGTGAAGGCAGTAGTTCAGCTGCCAGGTATGGTAGTACCATTGATACTGACTGGTCTATCTCCTTTGAGCAGATTTTAGCTTCCATGCTGACGGAAGCAGCCCTTGTAAACTACTTTGAGAAGAAGGTCAACATTCTGCAAAAGATCAAAGATCAGAAGAAGGTAGAGAGGCAGTTCAGTTCATCCAGCGACTATGAACTTTCCTCCGTCTCAGGGTGAACTCAAGAAAGCAGGAATTGTCTTTGGGAGATGAAACAGGGAGAAAACGTGGTGGATGGCAGGATGGTTTGGTATTTTGTGTTTGGGGTATTTTTTTGTTTAATCAGAGACCAGTAACTACACAATTACAATAGATTCCAATCAATAAGGGGCTTCTGACAGTGACTGTTTTGTGTAGGTGCTGCTTTGGCTACTCTGGCTGACAGAATTAGATTTACATTCTCAAGAGCCATTAGAACCTAATAGCCCCTGACATAGAATTACCACCATAAATTATGCATGTCTGCCTTTTGCTATCTTTTATTTTAATGACGTTTTATTTCAGACAGTAACTGCTCCTTGCCTGCCCTTGTTTGCCGTAGGTTCCTGGGTAACTTGCACAGCAGATGCAGCCTGGCTTGAAACTACGTTCACCTCTGGCTGCCAATCTGTGAGAGCTAATGCAGTGTAGTCAAGTGCTATAGGACCCTGACCTATAAATAGTCTTTAGGTTCCTCAGTGCTGTTCTGTGACTCAGCAGCTATAATGCAAATGTGCCCTGCTGCTCCCAGCACCCTAAGGTCTAAACACAGACATTTCTCAGATCTGCAGGTTTATTTCAGATGTGATTTGGCATTTTCATAGTGTATGACCACCTTTTTTTTTCTCCTTCAGCATTCAGGAGTTTTCAGACAAACCTGGTTTTCTAGCAGTTGCTTTTCTAATCCTTTGAAAGTCATTGGTTTTAGTTGGTCTGGGAAGCCACGAGCTCCTTGACTTCAGTGCAGGAGTTATACTAAGTCAATCAACGGGCTCACGATGGTTATAATGAGGGAACATGTTCCTAAATTAGAAGTCAGTGAATCAGCCTCGGTGTTACAGGGCAGTGGCACACTGGTCTGCTGGACTTGCCGTGTTGATCCAGAAAACATTCATTGTTTCTTGCTGATTCTCTGTTTTTACTAGCTAGTGATGGGTCCGGTTTTTAGGAGGACCCGTAAGAATACTCCGATCAGTCAGCCCTCTCGAACGCTTGGGGCAGGAAGATGTGCGGGAGTGTCGTGCCACGTGCAGCTGCTCAGTGTGTCCTTTCTGAACGTCTCCTGTACAAAGAGTCTAGCAATGGATGTGCTTTTAGAAACTACTACACATCACAGGGCATTTATACCTAAAGAGGAAGAATTCAAAGCAGTGTGGCCCTCTGCCATCAGCCCATTATGGGAAACCTCAATAGACTACATCTCTTTCCAGTTAGAGACGAAATAACTGGGAGACTGAGTGACTGCTCTTTTAAATCAATTAAGACCAGAAGAAACTAAGAGTTAGCCTTCTGGTAGTAGGGCGTGCGCTCCGAGGAAGGAGAATCAATGCTGTTCCTACAGATAAATTCATCTCGGTACCCGGGCATCTGCCTTGCAGGGCCGGAGCGAGAGATGCTGCTGCTCGGCGAGAGCAGACCCTGCACTGAAGGCAAGGTTTGCTACAGCTTTTGGCTGGCATTTGGGATATAAAGGATGGGAAGGACACGTACGGTGGGGTGTTCCCATTTAACACTACTTGGTGTGCTACTCAGTGTTAATTCCTCCTTGTGACATTCTCTGTATGTATTCACAGCTGATACATATTTCTCTGCCTCCTCTGTCCCGTATCACTGGAGAGCAGCCATTAGTAAAACGGCTTTTACTAATTATTCAGTAATTTATTGTAATTTTTTAAAAGTACAAATAATACATGTGATTTTACACTGTCTGTCTGTCTTATCTGTCGTACTCAATAAACGAACCAGAATCCTATAGGCAACCTTGGCTGCCTTTTATTTCTCTGAGCTCATGGAGTATTTAGCGTGTTCGTTGTCTGTGGTGGTTAGCGCAGACTTGGTGTGACTGGGGTCTAACTTTTTCTTTCTTTTTTTGGTTTTCTTTTGGCTTTCCTTCTTTCTTTCTTTTGGTTTTCTTTTGGTTTTCTTTTGGTTTTCTTTTGGTTTTCTTTTGGTTTTCTTTTGGTTTTCTTTTGGTTTTCTTTTGGTTTTCTTTTGGTTTTCTTTTTCTTTTTTTTTTCATCATCTTTCCTTCATCATCTTTCCTTCATCATCTTTCCTTCATCATCTTTCCTTCATCATCTTTCCTTCATCATCTTTCCTTCATCATCTTTCCTTCATCATCTTTCCTTCATCATCTTTCCTTCATCATCTTTCCTTCATCATCTTTCCTTCATCATCTTTCCTTCATCATCTTTCCTTCATCATCTTTCCTTCATCATCTTTCCTTCATCATCTTTCCTTCATCATCTTTCCTTCATCATCTTTCCTTCATCATCTTTCCTTCATCATCTTTCCTTTCTTTTTTTCTTTCTTTTCTCTTTTCTCTTTCTTCCTTTTCTCTTTCTTCCTTTTCTCTTTTCTACTTCTTCTTTCGATTCCCTCCTCCTTTCTTTTTTAAAATCATTGTTCCCTGTGTTCACTTTCTCCCCGGCAGGGACTGACCGGCCCGGTCCCCCCCGGCAGAAGGCGGCTTTTGCCGGTACGGGCGCGCATCCCGCGTGCCCCCGCAAGCCTGGCTTGTATCGACTGCAAGGCGCTGCACGAAGCCTTCCCGTCTGAAGGGGAGTTAATTGATTTAACAGGCCAGTTAATTGATTTTTTGGGGCAAGGCTGCGAGGCTGCTGGTGCGGGCCTGTGCCCGGGGCGGCCTGCGCTCGGCGGACTCGGGGGCAGAGCGGGAGACTCGCTGGTAGCGGGGGTGTCACGTGGCCGGAAGGCGCGCGTTGCCATGGGGAGGGCGGGATGGCGCCGTGGTTCTGGGCGCTGCGGTGCTGCTCCTGCCGCCTCTTCCAGGTGCAGCAGGTGGGTGCGGGCCGGGCCGGGCCGGGCCGGGGAGCGGGCCGCGGGCCGCGACTGACCCCCTCTGCGCTCTCCTAGGCCAAGCGGAGCGGCAAGTGGAGCTGCAGCGTGTGCGGCCAGCGGCAGGCGGTGCAGAAGGTGAGGGGCCGGGGCGGCCTCGGTGGCGGGACGGGGCGAGCCGAGCGGGTGGCGGTGGGGAGCCCAGCGTGGCCGTTAGCCCTACCCAGGGCATCGCACGCTCGGCCGTACGTGCTCGCTTTAGTTAGCCCTTCAGTATTACTCAAGGTGAAGCCTCACTTTGTGCTGTTTCCTTCTGGCTGCTCCCTAAGCCTTGTTTTTTTTTTTTTTCTTGGTTTTTTTTTTTCAGATTTATGGCCAAGGGTCTGGCCTGGACTGTAGGCACCATGTCCAGAAATTAAACTTGCTGCAGGGTGAGGCGGAGGAAGCGATTGGTTGGGCCTCTCGGTAGAGTGTTTCATCTTTATCTGCTTGTTTCGTTTGATGTGGTACAGTTGATGCACCTCTTCACGCAGGGGGTGCCTGTTACCTAATCTGAACTCACAGGAGGGTTTTCTGTCCTGTTGTAAAGCCATGACACGTGCCAGCTTTGTCGTCACCTCATAGGAACAAGCTGTTTGTTGAGTGTAGTGTCCTGGCATGTTTCATTTGACAAGGAATTTTTTCAGATAAGTTTAGTTGATCAATAGCGTGTGTTGGTCAGGCTTTTACCCATTAAAATATACGCAACAGGGTTTGGCTTTTCTGTTTTGTTTATTTTTAAATTGGTCTTTCTTATTTACTGTTTGATGAGCTGACTGTGGAGGTGTCCATCTTACAGACTGACAAGCAGTGCAGAGGTGCATCCTCAGAGAGAAAATATCCTGCACTCTAAGCTGTTGCTACCCAGCTGTTGGCATTCAGGGCTTTCACACTGTGAATCTGTTGAGTAATTGCTGCTGCTATTGATACAAAGACTCATTTAGTGCAAATATCTGGGTGTAATTCCTGC